CTTGCTACGGCCTGACAACTAGTCAGTCCGCTGATAATACAAACCGCCACGTACGTGATCCACATGCGGAGCAATCGGCTACACCGGTGAAATATTAAACGGCTCGCGTGTGCTGCGCTATCGGTACAACCGCCGACTACCCATGCATTCGCGAGAGACACGACGCGCAAAAAGTAACGTATAAAACATCTCTGTCCCAGCTTCGCTAAACCGCTTACGGTATTTCCATAAATATTCGCAGTCTAGTTATCTAGTTATCTCGAACGTGTTAAGAGCATCGGAGAAGAGATAAACTCTTGGAAATTGTAATTAACTTTCCTTATGAAATCATCTCACTGAGATGTAAAGATTATTTCCATATCTCCCGAACTGAACCTTGCCGATCGTACACGTGACAACGCTCGATAAACCAATACTCACCGTGGGACACGGCTCATTACTCAGCGCTATGGCAGCCAATCGTTACGACAGTATATACGTTCGTCGTAATCGATTAAGACTCATTATGCTCGTCTTCTCTCTCTCTCTCTCTCTCGTTTCTGTCTGAAGTTTCCTCGATCGTTAATTCTCTTAGCCTGGAAACCGATTGCGGAGGAAAAGAGGGGGAAGGGGGGGAACAGGGAAGGAGATGAAAGAAGAAGAGGAAAAAGACGGAAAAAAATAGACGAGACACGAAGGCAAGTTTTTATTCGAGACGCGTAGAACGCGAGTAAGTAGTCAATGGCTCCCTCCGATGGGGACTTTCAGGTCCCAGGAGAGCTGTTGACATCGGACACTGCGGTGCGCTATGTTCGCCGTTTCCTCGTCATTTTAAGCGAGCGTTTCTCCTTTCGCAGAGGAGATCTTCCCTCGAAACGCGCAATGGAGAAAATGGCCACCGAAAAGGTATCTCGCTCGGCCATCTCTTGTGCATCTTAAAGGACTTCCGGCTCGCTGCGTTCACCGGACTCTGAGAATCCCTCGTCTCAGCTGCCTTTCGGTTTTTGTTTTGTGCAAATCAGCCCATCAACGTTGAACCTAGCTGCGTCTGCTGAAGTTGCAACGGAATGTCAACATCCGCTTGAATTACACTCTCGATCGACTCTCAGCTCGTTCTCGACGAGCCTAGTTACAAGAAAAAAAGACGCTGAAGTGCATTTTTAAATTTCACATCCAGACGCGGAATGAATTTTCGATCAAAAGCAGAAACTAAATTGGAACTCCAATGGCTGAAATCTAATCAAATTGAAGTCGAAGCATTCCCGAAAGTCAACACAAACCTGTCCCGCCGAACGTCAATCGACAACGTCGATCACGATACTCACCCCGAGGCGGAATTGCAAGAAAACCAAATGGAATTCCGAAGCTGTAAATCTTGCTCATCGTGAGTTGTACGAGATTCTTTCGATCGAGCGCCAATCGAGGAAGACTAGTCGCGATATAGATCGCTCCAGTTTCTCCCGCAGCGCGAATCGATCGGCGGCCAACGTCGATCTACGAACGTCTGGCCAGCGGCTGGAGATTCGACTCGATATTTCATTCGGCGAGAGGCCGCAAAATCGCGTGCCTGCGTGCTAGCCAACGTTGGCCAACGTCTCATGCATAGAGTCATGACGATGACGGGTCTAAACGATCGCTTATTGCAACCGGTCGCCTGTGACTGACGCACCCTCTCTCTCTCTCTCTCTCTCTCTCTCTCTCTCTCTCTTTCTGTCTCGAGTATCGCCCGTTTGTTATCCCCTGGATCCGGTGCTCCGCATGGTTCCACGATGGACGTTACGCTGACGTGAGACATTATCCGAGTGACTGGAATGGAGTTTGCTCCCCTCGGAGCGCTCGATGATCTGGAGAAAGGTTGCGGAATCTTTAGCACGAAGATGGATGAATGTGGATTGATTCAAGACGATCTAGATGCAACGATAAGTCAGAGGTAGTTTGAACGATGGACCTCGAGGAGCCTGGCAAGAGAGAAGAGCGATTACGCGTCCGATTAATTCAATCAGATGTACAAATTGTAGAAATATCTCAACTTTATGGGATTTTTATGGCAGTTTTCTGATCGATAGCGATCTGTTCAGTAACAAAGTATCGAGTCGATTTTTCTTAAATAGTCTTATAAATAATCCCAAACATTCGCGGTTTTTGAACGTTTGATAGAAAAAGAATGTAGCGGCTAATAGTTCCTCCAGTACGAGTCTCGAACACCAAATCGTACAAGCCGCAAGTGGCTGTGCGCCTAGCGTCGAAGTCTAGCGATCTTCGATGTTAAGCAAACAACCACTAGGGTGGGTGACCATAATAACAAGCGTCTAGGGTCGCTGCCATCAGCTCCACTGATAAGTCTAGGCAGCGACTCTGAGACGAAGCGCACAACCTTTCCTCACTTTACCCATTACCTTCACTTATCCTTACATCCTTCATCCATCCTCGCACCAATTGTATATAATTGTACATAATTTTAGATACTATAGCAACAACCTCCTATGCCCTTTCAAGAAGAACGAGAGAAAATAAACAAGAAATTCGTTTAAACTATTTTTATTTTAGTCTCGTGACAGAAGACGAGAAAGACAAAAGACTTTTCAAAATGATCCATCTGAATGAAACCACGTTGAAACCATGTTGATATCGTCCGATCACTCTGCTACTTCTTGCCAAATCCGCTTGTAAATGCGTTTGTTATATAATAGGACAAAACCGATCTCGAACACTTAGGTAATATTCCCCAGCGAGTCGAACGGAAAGCCAACTAACGACCACTGACATATCACGAGTACATGTGCTGTAAGTTGAACAAATCGACTCGGACGTGGCTACGATTTTTCAGGGTGTACCAGTTTTTTTTCCCCCGTCGATACCTACCGCGCGCGTGGAACGCGGCCGCTCGTGTCCCGTATATATTACAGCGTGAAATGAATGACTCCCTTCCCTGATACGAGCCACGGCGCCTTGAATTATAGCCGATTTCCGCGAAAGCACTACTCCCGACGAATTTCAAGCTTGGAGATATAAAGATATAAGATCGCAGATGGAAGTTATCACCGCGATTTAACTATGATTTAATTTCTCCTCCTTGTCAATGAACCTTCGTAGTTTGTCGCGAATTCTAGAATTAAGCAACAAAAATCAATCTTCTTCTCTCCGACTTAAACATCGCTTTTCTCGTTCGCAAACCAAACTCACTCAATTTTCTTTACGTCTGTTTCTAGATGCACGATTCAGATCGATCGGAGGAACAAGATCAAGATCAATGTGAGTGCCTTCGCTAAGGATAGAAAAAAATAAAAAAATAAAAAATATTCTACGAATACTCTTGGACGCGAGAGTCGTCCAGCTTTCGCGTGTTACGTAAAATGATTATCGAGAAGTTGGAACTCGCTTCGTGTGTACGAAGACACGGCCGATTAGCATCGTCGACGATTGTGTCTCGCGGGAAGACGAGCGGGCCGAAGCGATGAGGCGCGAGGAGGAGAGACACTGCCGGCGACGACGATCGCGTGAGATCCGGACGTGGAAGGAACGTTCGACCTGGCAAGGTCAGCCGCGTGGGCAGGTATCCGTAACTCGGCGATTTTGCAACGCTCTCGCGCTTCCTGCTGCAATTGATCAATGACGATTGGCGGCAGCTCCGCGTTATATATACCTCGTCGATCGCGTCCTCATTGCTGCCATCATCCTCCAAGGCTGACACGTGAATCGGCTGCCGGATTTTCAGAGTCTTCCCCTGGTTCTCTTCGTCCGGTATCTTCGTCGAACGTCTCCTTGCTTATCCATCGTTCGTTTGAACTTGACAGAACTCGGACAGAAAACTATATTTGCGCTTCAAACGTTCAAAGTGAAACTGACGCTCGAATGATATTCGATTTTGGTTTGGAACGTGGAACTAAATCTCGAGGCGTGGAGATATGAATGCGTTGGCAGAGAAGATGACACTTGTTACGTGTTTTGCTGGCCGACTGAAGTCGAATTATTCAGTCGATAAAACGACATCGTCTGCCGTCCTAGGAACTACTTACGCAACTACGCAAACTGTGCAAACAAGCTCAAGGAAGAGAGAACACTGGGTAACCAGGAAGGAAGGCGTCGTTTTTGTGGATTAAAGAAAAATATTTAATTTCGCGTTATGTTTGGATACTGGCCACTTGTATTTACCGTTTACATGCTATTATGTACAAAATAAAGAGAGAAACTGATAAAAAGATTCGAAATCGAGTGAATGAAAAAAAAAAGAAAGAAAACTGTGGTCCGTTTACGCGAGCCGAGAGATCCCGTACATCAAGCGGAAGCGTAAAAGCGATACTCCGACGATTCGCAATCATTCCCCCTCCCCCCGCCCCTCTTCTAATTACGCGCACAAGAGTGATTTTTTTCATTCCTCTCCCCACCCCCTTTTTGCTTATTTACAAGATGCACGTGACGTCACCATCTCTCGTTCACGTTTATTAACTGGCCTTTCGTCGTGACAGGATCGCAGATACTATCGTTACCAATCGTCTTCTCCTCGCGCACACACTCTATTTCGCTCTCTCTCTCTCTCTCTCTCTCATTCTCTCTCCACGCCCACTCGAGGAAGAACACAATTTACAACGATGAATCGCACGTAGAAAAAAAAAAGAAGCAAGATATAAAATCCTGCGGTTCAAAGATACGTTTACATACATAATATAGAATATTTAAAATATAAATACATATATTATATTAAGGCACTGCACTACTGGCCGGTATATGTATACGCAATTTTAAAGTCACGTTGAAAACCACCAACACGTTACGTTCTCACTTTCGGTTCGAGCGATTTTTAAATATATATATCGTAGAATTAAGCAAATTTTGAACAGCACGTACAATCGTTGGACTCGTTTCCTGGTGCAGTGTGCGCGTCAAATTACATTAATACGTCATTACATATATTATATAATTATATAATTATATGTATTATATTATATAATTATATGTGTTATACTATATAATTATATAATTATATGTATTATATTATATAATTATATGTATTATACTATATAATTATATCATTACATGTAACATACTATTAACGGGATATAAACTGTTCAGTCAGCATATAAAAAGGGAAACCATTTTCTCATACTTACCGTTTACGAAAATGCGGTTGGCCAGTAAATTCGTCGATACCCTGTCGATATTTACCGCATAGTTACAATTCCATATTCTATACATGTCGCCACGAACGCGTAATTCATCGCGAGCAGAATTCGCAGTAGCAGTATCGACAGTTCATCGAGCGAGTTCAACAATTGTACGTATGCGGAAAAAGTTATGAAAAATATTCGAAAAGTCGTCGAAACGTCGAGGTGGACGTAACCCATTGGCAGATAAATTCCGGTTTCTTTATACAACGATTTATTATTAGTACTCTTATTCCTTCCTCGATATATAATGCGTGATTCACTGCATAGGAGCAAAGTATTAAACAATGATACGGAGGTACTCGCGAACGGTACTCGCACGTAATAAATTAATGTCACAATGATTTTGATACCTATGTACAAATTTGAACACATTTTCGTGATGGGTTTCAGGTAATCGTCATTCTGTTGTACGATTACCTCGTAACTTCCCCCGTATATTTTCGCGTATGTTCGTGTCCATTCAACAAACCTTGCTCGATCCCTCCAACAACGACCCTTCCAACGGCCTCGGTAGCAAGTCGGCTGATGCTAGCGAAGCCTTTGGGGCCAATTCACCGCGGGTTGCTATGAAAGTCGTCATAGCGACAGAGGTAGCTCGGGCCTCTTCACGCCTAACGTCAGATCCAACGGCTTGCTCTTGGTCGTGGCCTCGTCCTTCGTCGGGCTAGCGTTGTCGTTCGATCTGTTGTCCTCCTCGGACGGGTGACTCGGTCTCGGTGAATTCCTGCTCGATCTGACGCTGAGATCTATCGGCTCCTGCTGCTCCACAGCTAGACCGCCTGGGCTTGGACTGACGAGTAGCAGATCACCGCCTCTCGGCGAATGCTGAGACGTTGCCGGCGTGACTAGACCAGGTGGCGGATATACCATGCCTAGACCGTGGTGAAGATGGTACGCCGTCGTCAAAGTGACCGTGGCGTTGATTTTCCTGGGCGGGAAGTCCCGTTCGGACAACGTCGGTGACGCGGCGCTGGCCTTGAAGTAACTCAGCACCGAGTTACTCCTCGATTCGGTGTCCTGAGAGACGTCGCCGCCGTTTATCGAAGACGTTTCGCTGTCGCTCGGTGTGACCGACCTTTTGAACGTCGGCAGAAACGGTCTGAGCACGTCCGCTGGACTACTTGGCACGCACACGCCTTCTCTCTGAGCAAAGTTCATCGTGAAGCCTGGCTGTTGTTGCTGTTGTTGTTGTTGTGGTTGCTGTTGCTGTTGCTGCTGCTTGTAAAACGGCGAAGGTGTCGTTTCCCTGGATGGCGTACCAGGAAGCTGAGCATTTTCACCGACTCTCTCGCGTTCCTTCTGCCAGGCGAGCAAACGAAGCTGGTTCTGAAGGGCAACATCGTCCGGATGCGGAGACCTGTTCTCCCTCTCGTGCTCCTGTTTCAGCATCGCCACGTGCAACAGATGCGACTGGAGCGCAAGGTCTTCCTGACTAGGTGAGGCACGGTCTTTGCCGTCCCTGTACGCCGCGCTGCCCTGCTGCGGCGGTGTCTGAGGGAGGAATCCCGGTAGGAAACCCGGCCCAAACGGCGAAACCGTTCCCGGCGTCCCGCTTTGGCTTCCGTTCGTCTGCTCCTGTAGCAGACAGTGGATCTTGAACCAGTTGGAGCGGCGCCCGTACCGCGAGCCCGACTTCGACATCCCGACCATAAGGCATTTTCGCAGCCGGCACGCCTTGCACGCCGTGCGGTTCTTCTTGTTGATCACGCACATGCCGCCATTCTTGCACTCGGAGATGCTGCCTAAGTTGTTGTAGGTGCGCCCGAAGAACGACTGCGAACAGAAGAGAGAAGAGGACGGTCAGACGGTCGTGAAACTGTCTGGATCTTAAACTTTCGGTTCCCGAAGTTTCGCGCGTGTTTATTTTCAAACACGAAATTCCCACTGTTGGTTTCATCCATTAACACGTCCGGCAGCGTGCGTCATACGAATTCGTACGAATCTCGCGGAAGGCGAGCCGACGTCACGCACTGGTGTGCGAATGAAATTTCGCATTCGATTTTCGGTGAAAAAAAAAAAAATAATAATAAACCAAGTCTCATCTACGTGACAAAAAGTATCGTCAGCTTAATTTCTCAACCAGAGAGATTGAGGTGACAATTTAACATCAAGTTTTAACATCAGTCGAAAGGCATCGTTCGCCGTGCGTACAAAGGTTCGGGCCAGACACGCTCAGGCCGCGAGTGAATTCTTCGGAGGATTAAACGTCAGGGTTTAATGTTACGCGTGTCACGAGAATTAGCATGCCTCTGTCTAGGAGTGGAAGGTCGAGGAACGGAGGCAGAATACACGAAAGGGTGGCAACAGGGTGGCAACGCGTTGAAGATGGAGCGTTGTACGCGGCGCGGCTGCTCGTAAAGTTAAACGCCTGTCGGCCGACGATAAAACCGACTGGAAAGCGGCGCATCGTGAACTAATTTACGACGCCGGCGACCCTTCTTTCTCTGTCTCGCTGCTCGCGCCGAGCTCTCGACTAGTCGCTAATCGAGTGTCTTTCCTGCGCAGAGCGCCAGGCTCTTCCGTTTCGTTTTGTTCCAGATATGGACGAAAGTATCCGCACGTTTGATGAAAAATTGCGCGATACGCATAAGGAAACAATGGTGTGACAGTCTTAAGTTTGTTTCTTTCTTTTTCAAAGATGTTTGATGCACCTGATACATGTTCAAATCATGTAGCAGGTGGAAAAGCAAAGATACTTTTGTTTTCAAATATCGTGAAGATTCTAATGCCTTGGGAAAGGTTGAAAATTTTTTCTCGTGATAAAATCTACCGTAGTCTTAAAGTCTTCTTTTTACAACGACCTCTTAAAAGAGCTGTCCAATTTTTTTTTTTTTTTTTTGCTATTTTATTGAACTTCGAAGATTAAGATTAATTGGCAAAGCACGCGGATTTTTTGAACTATGGTCTTTCAACTTTGATGATCGATAAAATGGCGAAAAGAAATGACAAGGTAAATTGTGCAAGTTGATATAAAGAAAAAATGTCAATCTTCGAGATTATGATAAATCTTATCATGAAATTTTTCAACGATTTTAAATATATATAGTTTCCGAGAACGAAAGTACGGCACCATTACTTAAAAACGTCTTTGGATAAAATGAATTCAAGATCAATAAAGCAGAGGTTTCACGCTTTAAAATAACATCAACTGGATCGATGTACGATTTTGTTTTAAAGCAACAGTAATTTCTCACCGGAATTTTGTCCATCTCTGTATATTTCTTTGTATATTTAAAATGGTCTTCATTTTTGTCACGTGCCGATAAATGCCAAACTTATCAGTGACGTTTGCATCATCACCGAAACACCAAATCTAATAAAATCAAAGGTCTCTAGGAATCTTAGTGGTAGAAATATAAATTCGATTCCTTAATATGACTCAATGACGCAAGTGTCGTCGAAAACTGGAATGGTTCTAACTCTGTTCTTCACCTGACGCATCCACGTGGGCGGGCGGGTAACGGTTTGAAACCCAAAAGCTCCCATAGCGGTACTCGTTCCAAATGGGATCGAGACTATCATCCACAGTGAGTGTTCACCGTCTCGATGCGTGACCCAAAAATTCACGCTTCAATAATGCGTTCAGATTACTCGTGCGCCTGTCATCGATGAATCATCCGGCTACCGATAATCCCGCGTGTATCAGGTAAAGCTTTCCTCTTCGTTCGATTGCAACAGACTCAAAGAGGAAGCACCACGTGTAAGGTTACACGTGCTCGATCGGAAAGAATTGAATTGAAATTCCATAAATTTCGAAATCAGGTGCATGCCCGAGTGAAACGAATCTGATATACATGTACGTTGATGTTCCAATTTGCATCGGAAATTTGTTTCGAGACTGGCGTAAAAACAACTCGACTGAAAGAGCCTGGTTCCCACAACCTGTCATACAACCTACATCCCCAAATCGATCGATCGTGGTCCGCTGTGAAGGAACGCGAGGGTTGGAGAGCAGAGCCGCGTTTCACGCAACTCTTGACCGTAGAGAGCAAACGAGGTGGACAACGGGATTCGCGAGGAACGATTTACGCAACAGGCGCGTGGTCCGCCGTGTTTCTGAGACTTTCCTTCGTTTTTCCCCCTTTCCTCTTCTTTTTTTCTTTTTTTCTTCCTTTTTTTTTTTCTTTCCTCGACTGGTCCGGTTGGCGAACGCCAGAAAATCGGAATCGACGGAAAGCGAGGAGGAAAAAAACAACAGTTCCACGCGGCTGTCGAGCCGTAAATGGCTCGCCGCGACAAATCGGTCGCGAGCAGGCCGTGAGATTAGCGCAAATCAGTCGGCACGCCCGGAATCCCGAACCGATTTGTAACGCCATATATGTATATATATATATATATATATATATATATATATATATATATATATATATATATATATACATATACATATAGAAACACTGAGGAGAATGAGAACGTTTGTCCGTGATCGTGAACGCGGTCAGCCAAGCGCGGGAAAGCTTAACAAATTGTCGATGAAAAATACGACGAAACGTTCCTTTGAATAGGCTCGGGAAATCTGTCGAAACGAGTGTAGCCGACTCGCCCAACCGTCCCAACTTTTGGCCTTCGCGAAGATGTTACGTTGCGCGTTTGCGAGAAGCGTTTATGACAATCGTAATTATGTTGTATCGTACGATATGTAATATCGCTTGTATATCGGAGTGTTTCAGAATGAATGAGTGATTTTATGAATACATTACAGGAAACATTATGATCACGATATTTACGACGACCGTAATTATACTGTGTATAATGACGTACTGTACCGTAAATTGTACTGATAGAGGATCTTAAAAGGAAGTATAGTATTAAACATTAAATATTAATATAATCGAAACATTAAGATAATAAATATAAATATAATAACAACATTATACGTAGTAAGTCCAAGATCGACAATTTACGAAGAAACGATTTCGAGAGAATTCACCTTTCGAACTGCAAAAATAGAACTTTAAATACAGAAGTATCAGTCTCTTCGAATGTTATTAAATTCCAGTTCTTGACACGAACGCCGTCAGTTACAAAACCACGATATATACTTACTCCCGACGAGATAGAGGGGAAAGAACAGAACCGACAAAAAGTTTAAATTGTCGACAGGCTACTTCGGTAGCCTGACACTTCTAAAAGCGTATTCAAGAAAGTACAACTATCCTCGCACTCCATCCAGACAAGTACATCGAGAACCAGCGCGGAGTCTCGTTATTAACTTCGAAATCGTTGCTCGCTCTACCATGCACGCATCCATATTCGTGTTAATCGCCGATCGACCAGTTCCAAGTATCGCCTGGCGAATTTTCCCAACCGGCCATTTCGGTCTGCTTCGCTGAAAATCGTTGAGGCCGAGGCGCGGGGCGATTTGCAGCGTCGATCAATTTCGCCGCGCGCCGAACACGGGCAACGTATCCTCGAGCCGGCGTCGGGAATGCGATTGGCACGGCGTGTTCGCCGCGGGAACAATTTCCTCGAGCGGATTGCTGGGGGAAAAAAAAAAAACGCGAGCATGCCGATGGTTTCCCGCACGTGACGAGAATCGAGCGACGACCGGCCGATCGGCGCCCCCTTTTCGACTCGCCGATTGTAAACACGGCTTCTCGGGGCCAGTTTAGCCGGCTTCTAGATTCTAGAAACAGAGGAAATTTACGTTTCTGCGAATTTAATTTTCGATGGACATGTTGGTCGATCGCGTTCCGCGAATCGTCGCGACCTTTGCTCGCGTAACGCGAGCGTATGTTGAAAGGGCCGGTCGCGAGGAAGTAGCGTGGTTGACTAACCAGGTTGTTGGAGTTACTACATTTGTTTTTTTCTTTTTTTTTTTTTTTTAGTAGAGAACTTGATCAGCGTGTAAACTTAATATAAACCTATACCTGACCTAAACGTAGTCTAAACCTAATCTGAATCTATGAACTTGAAATTTTACTCTATAGATTCCAATTATTTCTCTCGGGCAAGCTTTAGTCGAGAAAATGTTCGAGTGCAATGGATTAAATGAGAAACCTAAACCTAACTCAAATCTAGCCTAAATCTAAACCTACGGAACTTGAAATTTAACTCCTCGAAGTACTCCCCTCAAGCACTGTTAAAGTTACTGTTAGCAACAAAAAGCTGTTAAAGCTTTAAAGAAATTTGAGTGCAATTGATTATATAAGAAGTCTAAAAGTTGCTCTTTTATAGTTGCAATTTGTATAGAAACTAAGAAAAGAATAAAAATAAAAATTAGAAAATAAGAAATGATCAAAATTACGATTTTAGGGGATTAGAAGAGAGTAGCTGCCTCGAGGTTGAAGTAATTTTCACCAGATACTCCTCTCAAGCACTGTCAAAATTGCTGTTAGCAACAAAAAGCTGTTAAAGCTTTAAAGAAATTTGAGTGCAATTGATTATATAAGAAGTCTAAAAGTTGTTCTTTTATAGTTGCAATTTTTATAGAAACTAAGAAAAGAATAAAAATAAAAATTAGAAAATAAGAAATGATCAAAATTACGATTTTAGGAGATTAGAAGAGAGTATCCGCCTCGAGGTTGAAGTAATTTTCACCAGATACTCCTCTCAAGCACTGTCAAAATTGCTGTTAGCAACAAAAAGCTGTTAAAGCTATAGTCGAGAAGAAGTTTGAGTGCAATTGATTATACAAGAAATCTAAAAGTTGCTTTTTTATAGAAATTAGGAAAAGAATAAAAATAAAAATTAAGGAATAAGAAATGATCAAAGTCACGATTTTACGGACAGTCGTACTCAAATAGCGTGCGACATCGCGCGACCGAGCTAAG